GCTTTGACAATTTAAATAATTTGAGTAAAGCTGGCAAAAAACACGAAAATCGCAAATCTCCATTGATTCTTTCGTAAAATTGGAAATCAAAATAGAATAGAATTTAACATTAGTATAATATAAAATAAATATTGAAAATTATAACAAGATAGTTACAGCTAATAGATATATTATATTTTAATTAGTAGATGTTATCGAAGCAAGAATTGGCATTTAGAGGACATAGAGAATCTATTAAATCTAATATAACAGAGTTAATTATATTGAACTTGCTTATTTATTAAATGCATTAGATAATCTATTAATTAAAAATACATTTAGAGAAGTCTATGGTTTTTACTGGCTTATTACAACAAACGAATACAAACCTAAACCATCACTGACTGATTGCCTCTGGAAGTTGGCTTCTTACAGAAACACAGCTTCCCTATCATCAAATGTCACAGCACGCCACTGGTACAAACAAAATGCGATGCCAGCAACAAGATCTATCTAGGACAGGGATGGCCAACAGTTTTTGCCCCCAGGCCAAATTGGAAAGAAAACTTTTTCCACAGGCCAAACCTGAGGCTGCCCTAGGAAGATTTTGAGTTTGAGATGGTGCAAGATCTCATTGTGGTGTCACCCCATAGAGACTGAATTGTAGATAAAGATTACAGATACATTTTTCACATTACCATGCCTTATCGACATTCTACACTGTATTTACGAGATTTGTAATGGAGGGTTAACTCTAAATGCACAGTGAGTTGTTGATCCTTTTTTTTTTAGTCGTCAGAAATGTTCATCAAGCTATTCAGACTTCAGTACCTAATATTGAAAGATTGATCACAGGCCACATAAATTCATTAGACGGGCCATATGTTAACCATGCCTAATCTAGGATATCACATATTGCTAAAAATCTTCAGTACATTATCATGGTTAGAACCATGTTCTACTGTACAAAGTCTATCAGTAAACACATCTGACCTGAATCAACAACCCCAATAATATATTAACAGTTGACAGAACACAGTAACAAGTAACAAGATATTACTCAATTTACGTTGTGGTAACATCGAAAAACTTTGGAAAAATGAACGTTTTCAAACCCCTTCTGGGCTCTGCATCAGGCTCTAATGGTTTTTAGATCGAAAATTCGATTAATGAATGCCATTTAACTAAGAGTTCATTCATGAGTTTGAAACGATTTACAAAAAATTTATGTTGTGCATGCACGACAGGTCCAGCTGCCTGGATTCAACAAGCGGCTAGAGCATGCTGTGAATCAAGATATATGCTATATAATATTAAAACACTATAGTAAGTGTTCTACTATTATATAGCTTCTGTATAGTATTCATTTACAAATTTTTATCGTTATTTAATCTATTTAATATATAGATTAATATAAGTTCAACAAACACAAGTTTTAGCTGAAAATATTTGTATTGGCCTACTGGAGTTAAAGTATGTGATGCACAGTGATTACTAAGATCACTGTTCCATTTGTTTACCACTCTGTGGTTAAGGTTCCCATTTTACAACTACCATATAAGTCAACTCAGTTTTTGAGAATTATTTTTCAAGATAAAAATCTTGAATTTTTGTGTATTTTTCATGAGTAAACAATCAACTTATATGTTGGCATATAAATAAACCATTACCTAAAAATAATTGAGTTATAGAAACATTTTAAGTTATCATTTATGTAAAAATTGTTCTGCATAATCTTATATTAATAATCATTTCTAATTATTACTTCAATCTCATTTAGCTTAAATTCATTGTCTGAATTAACACAGTCTAAACACATTATCACTTATGATGATGTGTTTAGGCTGTTTTCAGACTTATCCTATGTTATATATCTGAGTAATCAAAAAAGGCAGTACTTGTAATGCCTTAAATAACTCTTTCTTTGGCCAGATGTAACATAATGTAAGAAGAGACTGCGTGATTGTAGCTTTGCACATTACAAGGAATATAAGTTCAGATCCACTCTAATTTGTTCTTTATCTGTTTAATAATTAATAATTTTAAAATCTAATGTAATTTATTGTTAAAAATCATCAACAAAAATGCAACATATTTAATCTATAGTCTTTCTCATAATAAGAATGCACATTGAACCAATGTGCATTAGTCATAAAAAAGTGATGGCATCATAACAATGTTTGAATTTTTGAAGTTTTTGTTCAGTTCTATATGAAGATATACTATATAGCTTTGTAAAGCTATGGAAGTAAAGTGATAAACATTCATGGTCCAGCACATCAGTACTTGCCAGAATAAGAATGGAGTCATAGTTGCAAATCATCCCAATTATTATCCGTTTGTTTTTTCGATATTTTTTGATGTTTCATTATCACACTGTAAATTGGTTCTGTGTATGCAGTTTTTTTAAGTAATTTTGGTGTGGTGAGTGGTTATTTAATATTTAACAATGCAAACTAAAATCTATGAATGGTAGTAGGCCTAACTAAGGCCAGTGCTTGTCTCATCCCAATTACAGTAGAACCTCGATTATCCGGACTAATTGGGGATGAAGGTAGTCCGGATAAGGAAAAATCCGGATAATCGAAACAAATACTTTAATTTGTCTTTTATTGATAATACAACAAGTTTTCTTTTCGATGAGATATCGGTAACATTAAAAGTAAATACTGTATTTAAATCGTGATCAAATTTTCAAGAAACAAACGTTCGTATCGAATTTGGACTACTACTGACCAATGCTAACAGACTACCTATTGTTTAAAAGGCCCTCTGGTGGCGCAAGAAGACGGATTTTATAAAATAAAAAGCAGTTGAA